CAAACTGGCCCAACTTTTTCTGGCCGGGAAAATTTTCCGAAGAACCGGCGCCGATCCACGCACAACCGTCGCCGGACCTAGGAATTTTTCGCTTGTTTGGAACCGGTGCTTAAAACCGAGCAATGAAACTGCCTGGGTTAGGCCCAACCTGTACCAGTTGGCGTGTTGTCGTGTGACGGCCCGTACAAACCCGCTATCACTCATAACACTTAAATACATGTATTTTATCAAGCATTAATAAGGGATTACCTGCAACGGAGCCAGGGTTGGCTCAAGCATTGGCCTCGGTCATCGCATAGACCCTCGCTTGGCCCCCGCTTTGTTTATTGGATGCGGCGTTGCTAGTTGATGCACGACCTCTTCTTGTGCCGTCGTGTGACGGTCCGACATGGTTCCTTCCCGTCATGGCCCGTCCTTCGGCTCCCGATGCGTTCCCTTGCGTCATTTGCGGGCAATTAGCCATCATATGGCCCACATTCCCGCACTTGAAGCACCTCGGTAGTTCATTACACTTCCCAAAGTGCTATTTAGTGCAAATGGGACATCTAGGTGCTCCCGAGTTCTGTGGCCTAGGTTTGTGCCACCTTGAGTCCCTGTTCTTCTTTGTCGGTGGCGCCGGTGGTCTAAATGAACCACCGCCTCCGTGGTTGTTCTTCCGAGAATGGTCGGGGGGGCCCAAACCATTCCATTACCTCTTCTTCGCCTCATCAACGTCTCTTAATTTCCTTGCATTGCATTGGGTTTCCCCAAGAAGGCCCTGTTCCACCACCTCGCTAAAGGTCATGTGGCGAGAGTACGCAGCCCGATCACGGATGTCCAACAGTAAGGCCTCCCAAAAATGTTCAGTCATGCGGTCCTTATCGGCCGCATACTCCGGTAAGAACCTAGCCAATGTTCTAAATTCCTACTCCCGTTGCTTGATCGTGTCACCTTCCTTTTGTCTAAGGTTGGTGTACTCCCTCCTCTTCACGTTAACCTCGAAGTCGGAGTAGTATTGAACACAGAACTCTTGCTCAAAGTTTTCCCATGAGTTGTTTTCACGGTATTTCCCTTCCACACCTTCCCAACATGTAGAAGTCATTCCTTCAAGCAAGCGTGAAACGATAGTCAATTTCATGTCCGGTGTGATTTGCATGTTTCTTGATGCATCCTTCACATTCTTAATCCAATCGGCGGCAACAGTAATGTCGCCGGTGTCGTCGAAGGACTTACACCCCAAGGCCCTAGCTTCCTTGAGCTATTTGGAGATCGTCACACATAAATCTTCCCCACGTCCACGTTGGGATGTCCCTGAAACGGCTCTTAAAGCTCCTCAGCTTCGTTAACCCGAGCCTCCTTGAGAGGCACGCCTCGCTTGGCGTCTAAGATCTCTTCTTTGCTTCTCCTTTTGATACTACTCAACCAATTCCCCCATTTGAGTGAATCAGGCATCACTCTCATCATTGTTCTCATCATCGGTGTGGAAGTCACCCCGTCATATGGGGTCTCCTCATGCCCCGTTTCAGGAAACATAGTTTGAGTAATAGTCCCCGATGTTAGTTTCATACACCGAGCTAACATGACCATCGCTCACAGTTTGGGCTCGATGGTCCCTACAACGTCCACAGCCTCCTCTTCTCCCCTTAGAACCACGGGATGTGGCCCGACTAGCCCAAACAGAGGCTCTCGCAGCTTGTCCCCTAGAGTTGTTTCTCATTGGCATGCGTCTACCCTCCATTTCTGAAAGAAAGTTTGGATGAGTCATTAGACTCCTATTAATGTCAATTGACGGAATTGTACTATAGAGACATATTGGCCCAAGGTTTCATTTAAGATTTTTCCGTTTTCCGAATCCAACATATGTTGTTAGATTCTTGGTGTGTTTTATACTTCATTTAAGATTTTTCCGTTTTCGACACAGATCATTTCGCCGGCCAAAATGGATTTTGAATTGAAGATAAGAGAAAGGGGTAAAATCTAGATCTAATTTCCTAAAATTGAAATGAAGAGAAAAGTAAAGATAAGAGAAAGAGGATGGTGGTGGGTGGAGAAATTGAAGAGATAAAAGGGGAGGTGGAGGCGTGAGAAAGATAGTGGAGAGAGAGAATTATTTGGAATGCGAGAAGGTGGATGGTAAGTTTAAAGAGAAGTAATTGATTTGAAGAAGGATATTAAAGTCATTGTACCCAATTAAATTTGCCAAAAAGAGTAATGTTGCAATTATTTTGAAACTATCAAAAAAGGAAAGTGTTGCAAGTTTTAAACAACGGAGGAAGTATTTAGTTAAAGCCGATTAGGGCTAATTTGCTCCTTGATCGGAATATTAGAGGTGTTTTTGCACCTATCGAATCTTTAGGGGCATATTTGCACCTACATTTAAACATTAAAGGTGTGTTTACATTTTTATCTCACTTGTTAAATCTTTTATAAAAAAATTGTAACTTTTATTTGGAGATAGATATCATTTTTTAAACCGGTCGACAAACCACCCATCGGTGGGGTGAATGCCGGAGAACATTTATTATGTTTTTAAAAAATAAAGTAGCATATGAACGTATCTTCTAATCTCAAACATTTCAACACCATCCAATCTGACCGCGTGAACTATCCATTTACAGGTCAGATCCCAACAAATAATGCGTAACTCCTTCTTTTTGACGTCTTAGTTTGAATTGGAAACTTGTTAGTGATGGCATAAAATTTCAAATGATAAATTAAGTCAACCTTGTTCTTATAAATGACATTAGTCATAACACATGTTTGATGATAATGACTAATTACGTCAATAACAGAGTGGTGAATAGAAATAGACTGTAGGGCTAATGATTTGGAATGAACACCAGAGAGTTAGCCAAAACAGTTGATTATAAAAAATTGCTTTCTGACAAAGAGGAAAACTCGTCTTCTTCATACACAGAAGCCAAATTGATATGTTAGCCATCACCTTGATTACTACAACCAAAGTCATTCACATGCAAAGAGAATGAAGAAATACTAGCATCATGTGCAACTGAGTTACCAAAATGATACAAAATTATGAAGACCACAAACATGTTCAGACTCAAACTCTACACATAGTGGAAATCTTTCAACATGCGGTTACAAACATTTCAAAATAAAGAAAATTTGAAAGTTGCATCATCAATGACAAAAACAGGGGGCTGCAACCATCAACCATTTAACACAACCTGTTGAATGAATGATTTGGTTTGTACTGAAGATACCACACAACATATCAATACATGACGTGTACGAAGCATCAACACGAAGATCAATACCAAATGTCTCCAAATTTGTAAACGTATAATCAAACAACCAGGTACCGTCTAATTTAAGCATAATATGTAACACATCAGCCATTTATAGAAATTAATACCTGTTTGTAACACATCAGCCCCCTGTTTTTGTCATTGATGATGCAACTTTCAAATTTTCTTTATTTTGAAATGTTTGTAAATAAATGAATGATTTGGTTTGTACTGACGATACCACACAACATATTAATACATGACGTGTACGAAGCATCAACACGAAGATCAATACCAAATGTCTCCAAATTTGTAAACGTATAATCAAACAACCAGGTACCGTCTAATTTAAGCATAATAAGTAACACATCAGCCATTTATAGAAATTAATACCTAATAACAATGCAAAGTTGTGAAGAACTCAGTGATAGAAAAACAACAATATAACCTATCACAATATACTCTATCAATATATGGAACTAATACATGAATGAGCAAATCATAACCGTTGTTATGACATTTATTGCCAAGGCGAGATTAGTTAACAATGTCATAACACAGATGAAGTAATAAAAAAACTTAAAAAGGATAATAAACAACACGACATTACAATGTAAAATAGCAAACTACCGGGGAAATTGAAAGTGTTACACAACAAATACACATATGAAATAAATCCAGATAATAATTACATGAAAACTAAAAGTGTAACCTATCGTAATCTATTGCGAAATACATATCAGCAGAAATACATATTAGCATCATTCTAGAAGACGGTTTAGCAGTATTTGTGAAGGTAGATATAATGATTAGTTCGAAAAACGCAGCTTTGTACTTACCTACGGAAACGCAGGGAACAACAAGATTGTAAGAACACATCCGATTGATGACATTGTAATTTGGAGATGAAAGAATAAAGAAGGAAATAATAATCTGAAAGTCGCACTGTATAAGATATGGAAATTAATAACATGAAGCAACAATTATAAACGTCTAGCCTATGTGGCAAAGCTTCTATATAAAGTAAGAGCATTTAAGGAAAAAAGAATTAAAGAGCAGCTGGTGGCAGACATGAGCTCCTATTTGGGGAAATAAACTTAACAACTCCTATTATTGCACTTCTCATATGTTTATTTCCCATTAAGGACAATTTCTTAAACATGTTGCATGAAGAGTAATAGGAGCTTTTAGATTTTAATACCTAACAAGGATCATTTATAGTTAAATCTTAAAACTCTTCTACTTTTGCTTTCTAAGAAGCTGTTCTCTTTGTCTGATTTGAATGTTTCTGATCTGAATTTTTTAAGATCTGATCTCATCTGATCTGGCTTTTTCTGATCTGATCTGATCTGATCTGAATCTTTCTAATCTGATTTGATCTGAATCTATCTGATATGATCTGAATGCTTCTGATCTGATCTGAACTTTCTAAACCGGTATATAATAATAATAATAATAATAATAATAATCATAATAATCATAATAATCATAATAATCATAATAATCATAATAATCATAATAATCCTAATAATAATAATAATAAATATGATAATAATAATAAATATAATAATAATAATAATAATAATAATAAAAATAATAATAATAATAATAATAATAATAATAATAATAATAATAATAATAATAATAATAATAATAATAATAATAAAATAATAATAATAATACGAATAATAATAATAATAATAATAATCATAATCATAATAATAATCATAATAATCATAATAATCATAATAATCATAATAATCATAATAATCATAATAATTATAATAATAATAATAATAATAATAATAATAATAATAATAATAATAATAATAATAACAATAACAATAATAACAATAATAACAATAATAACAATAATAACAATAATAATAATAATAATAATAGTAATAGGAAGCAATAGTTATAAATGTGTAACTTATGTGGCAAAGCTTCTGTATAAAGTAAGAGCATCTAAGGAAAAAAAATTAACGAGCAGCGTGGCAGACATGAGCTGCTATTTGAGGAAATAAACTTGACAACTCCTATTATTTCACTTTTCATATGTTTATTTCCCATTAAGGACAATTTTTTAAACATGTTGCATGAAGACTAATAGGAGCTTTTAGATTTTAATACCTAACGAGGATCATTTATAGTTAAATCTTAAAACTCTACTTTTGCCTTCTAAGAAGATGTTATCTTCGTCTGATCTAAATGTTTTTTATTTGAAATTTTTAAAATCTGATCTGATCTGATCTGAATTTTTCAAATCTGATCTGATCTCAATCTGTCTGATCTGATCTGAATGCTTCTGATCTGATCTGATATGATGAATCCTTCTTATCTGATCTTAACTTTCTAAACCGGTATATAATAATAATAATAGTAATAATAATAGTAATAATAATAGTAATAATAATAATAATAATAATAGTTACAATAATAATAATAATAATTTCTGATCTGATGTGAATGTTTCTGATATGATCTGCTTTGATCTAAATCTTTCTTATCTGATCTGATCTAATCTGAATCTTTCTGATCTGATCTGAATTTTTCTGATCTGATCTGAATAAAATAAGAATAAGCAATAAGTAATAAGAATAAGACGAACAGAACAACTTCTAAGTCCTATTTTATTACATGTTCGTTTACACCGATTTGGAGCAGTTGTTATATCTTGAAAGCAAGGTCCCATGGTGAGCATTCTACTCCCACAACTAAAACATGCATGAACACTAACACACGTGAACAATATCTTTTTCATACTGGCAGAGTGATGTAACCCGCATGTATAGAAATGTAACTCATTTGATGGCAAATGTAATCCGAGGCAAGTCGAAATGTAACTTGTATAATACGGAGTATAAGAATTAAAACATTGATTTCAATGTAAACAATGAAAAGAGAGAGTATAAGTGTTCAAATATTTTAAGTAAATAGTGAATGTGTTTTGATTTTAAAATCATGACTAAAAAATGATTTAAAAACTATTTTTTTTTATAAAAAACGATGTGATTTTATGAATCCAGAGCTTGAAAGATAAATGATTTATCTATCCAGGAATAATTAAAATACCTTAACTATACATAAGTGTTAGATCCCTACCCCATATATGTGAAAGATGAGATACCCGTACCCCATGTGATATTAACAACCCGAAAACATCTACGTGTTGTATTTTTTTCCACATAAGCCATGTATTTCCCATTGGAGAAAAACCGTATAAGCATGCTTCTAATTTGGGAAAGTCTAAACAGAAGTTTCAGAACATTCTTTCTGCCAGGAAGACAACCATTTTACATTGGGAAAAGGGCCAAAAATGACACTAACGTTGTTTAGCAATCTCAGATAGGACACTGAAGTTTAAAGTGGACCATTTAAACACATAAGCCACCTGTTTGAGTTACATTTGGCCACTCCCTAACCGAGCCGTCCATCTATCGTTAACTCCCTCTTCTCCCCCCTAATTAAACGCTACCCAACAAAATTGACAACCCTAATTCATCTGCCATGAAGCTAATTCATCTGCCATGAAGATCCTTAGCTTGAAACTAAGTGCGCTTAGAAGAAGAGTGATTACTTCCGTACGCACGTGAATGACTGGGAGTGCTTAGCGTCTCATTTTGGAATCCACAGTTACGCTTAAAGGTATTCAGTGTACTTATTTCCTTTTCCTCTTAAAGGATGAGTGAGTTGGTGAACCTGCGGTTTAATCACAGTGGGAGATGGATTTTGCACCCGAAAATGAAATATGTTGATGGGGATGACCATACAATATATAGGTTTGATCCTGACTTTCTGTGCTTTCATGACATACAAAGAACTTGCAAAGAGGAATTGGGTTTCATAACACTAAAAAACATTTATGTCTTGGTACCCGGAAAAGATTTGGACAATGGGCTATTTTTAGTTGAAGATGATGACACAATTAGGAAGGTTTTGAATCAGATTAGGAATTTTTCTTGGATTGATGATATAGAGTTGTATGTTGATCATCAACTGGACGAGCCCCTTCTCATTCCCCAAATAGAGTGGTCTTCTGTTCAAAACAACCAGAGTGAGAATGTGAGTAACCAAAGCCCTGAAACAGACAATGGGGGGGGTACTTCCCCAAGAAACTAGAGGGGTGCCAAATGGTTATGTAAGTGATGGGGAAGCTGAAGTGGAACCACTAGATTCTGATAGTAACAGTGAAGAAGAGGAAGCAGAAGATAGTGATGAAGATGTGAGGGTTAACTACACTACCACAGATGGATCTACTTGCTTTATTATTGGGATGACTTTTGAAGATGTCCATGAGGCTAGAACTGTCATAAAAGGTCTAAATGTCCAAACCAAGCCACTTCTGTAAGTGTTCTATGTTCTTATAAAATTACTTATGCTCAGTTGTATTGTAAGATTGTTGTTGTTATGAAGTTACTTATATGTTTAATGTATTAGGCAAATGAAGAGCCCATTGTAAATCAAGGTGTGAAGAGAACTGCTGCTGAGGCTTTGACCCCGGCAGTTTCACCACCCCCACCACCAGGAAGGGAAAAATCAACAACCAATATCACCAGGCCCTCAAAATTGAAATCAAGAAGAATAGCTAGAAACAAAAGCCTTGACACTTTAACTGGTTTTGGTTGCTATGTTGATGTTAATACTAGGGCAAAGACTTTAAATGTGAGTATTTCTTAAGGAATAGAAAAGTAAAATATTTTCTTGGTTGTGAATATAAGAGCTGGATGTTGTAAAATCAGATTGATTAGGTTTGTTATACCTCTTGGTTTTGCACCCTGGGATGAGGAGTGAACATGTTGTTTCTGAGGTGCAAGCTGACATGCCACATGATCCTGATGTTACAGTTAGATATGCTATTCCTAATGAGAAGGAAACAAGAGCTGCTGCCCGGAATCAGAAATCTGTCAATGAGCCAAGATACAGATATATAGCATTTAAGGGTGATGGAGCACATGTACAATAGCCCACCAACCTACCTTTCAAAGCCCCTGGTTTGCAATGGAAGGGTAGCCCTGCTGTCACATCGGGCCAATTAAGAAAGAAGGTGCAAAGGAGGAGGGAACCTAGCACTGGGACCGATGATAGTCAACAAAGAAATTAATTAGCATGTATAAGTACTTTTGGATTCAATGTGCTAGCTGTCACATTTTTGTGTTTTGGTAGGTGGCAGCACTGGCTTTTTTGGCTTTACATTTCACTCTTAGAACAAAGGTCCTCTATCAGTTTTACAAGTGCAAAATCAGAGGTTGAATAATTATATGAATGCTGTAACAACTTTTTGTTTTATGGATGGTTGCTTTATATGAAGCTTTATATGAATGGATGGTTGCTTTATGTGAAACTTTATCTGAATGGTTGCTTTATATTAAGTGCTTTAAAAGTGAATGGTTGCATTATAACAGCTTTTTTGTTCTGTTTTACTATGGACACAATAATCCCTACACATTCAGACAAACACATTGAAACATACACAATGACATATAGCTTCATACCATTCCCATTCATACATATGAAATCTCCAAATTGGTACTCATCTGTTTACAATAGCAGAATGCATACATTAAACAAAATTACAACACCATAACCTACTATATTCTTCTACCTAAGTTAACATACACATCAGTGCAACTAGGACACACAAAAACAGTACAACTAAGTAGTTCCTCATTGTCTTTCTTTCTCTTTCCAAATTCATAACCTCAGCATTGTTGCTACTATCATATTGCAGCCTTTGATCTGAACTTTCAAATTGACAACTTTCAGTATCAAATTCTAGCCCTGCAGTGTCATCAAACATCCCCCCTTTGCCATTTGGGTGACATGGTGCACCCCTAAGCCTTTTGTTCTCCCATTTCAGCTGATTTATCACATCTTTCGCTCTATTTGTGAATTGCTCATCATGCCATTGAAAGAAACCGCACCCCTCCTTCTACAATACAAAACACATATTAATTCCAGTCATCTATATAAACAAGACCACCAATTTACAAACTTACCTTATAATATGGGCATCCATAGAATCGTCTCCCAGGATTCTTATCAGTCCATGAGGTCCAAAGTCTAGCTTCTGTAACCATTCCATTCATGTTTCTGCATTTACAATAGGTGAAACGAGTAGGAGTTCCAGATTCTAAATTGCTTCGCTTCTTCACCGATTCAACGGAGAAAGAGCTTGATTTCTCTTCACCAGTCCACCTCGAACGTGAACCTCCATTACCCATTTCTCTGTTGTTGTTATACGATCTCTGAGAGGCTGGAAGTGGTTGATCGTTTTTATTAGGGTTGCTGAGCAGTTGTTGGGTAGCGTTTAATTGGGGGGAGAAGAGGGAGTTAACGACAGATGGACGGCTCGGTTAGGGAGTGGCCAAATGTAACCCAAACAGGTGGCTTATGTGTTTAAATGATCCACTTTAAACTTCAGTGTCCTATCTGAGATTGCTAAACCACGTCAATGTCATTTTTGGCCTTTTTCCCTTTTACATTTTACAGAAAGGACGATGACTATGCCAACAGAAACAACAGAGCTTTCTCTCTAAGATTCACGCTAGACAAGTAAGTCGATATACCCTGATTACATTTAAGAAGGTCGTTGATAGGTTAGGGTTTTAATCTTAGTGTAACATGGAAGTGAGCCATTTCAATGAAGAAGAGGACGAGAGCGAGTTTCAAACCTTCCAAAGAGAGGATATCGGTAGTGGTGGTTCTTCAAGTGATGAAGAATGGATTGGCAGTAGAAAAAAATTGAGTTGCTACAATTCAAATATTCTTGTTGAAAATCAATTAATTGGATTTCAACCATTTTACGACAGTGATGATTCTGAAAATTATTTACATACACCAACTGGGAGTGAAGAAGAAGGTGAGACTGTTGCAAAGAAGGAGAGTGTTATATACAAATTTGATAATGATGCTACACTGAAAATGTTGGTATGGAAAGTGGGTATGAAATTTGCTTCACCTAAAAATTTTAACAAGCAATCAGTGAGGTATGCCGTAATTGCAGGGTATAGCATTACATTTAGTAAGAGTGAAAAGGTCAAAGTTGCAGCCAAGTGTAAAGAGGATCGTGTTTGGAGAATGTACGCTTCTTGGGATGGACTTAAAGAATCATTTGTGGTAAAGTCTTTGAAATCTAACCATACACGCAATAGACAAGATTATGAGAATATACAAGCCAAACCTAGTTGGTTAGCTGAAGAGTATTTGAAAGAGTACATGAAAAATCCCAACTGGCCAAGGAAAGCTCTGCAACAATCAGTGATGGAGAGATTCGGTGTGCATATTCAAAGGTTTGCTTGCTATAGTGTAAGGAAACAAGCTCATGAGATGTTACATGGGACCTTGAAAGGACACTATAGTAAACTTGCTTCATACTTGAGGGATATGAAGAGAGTTGATCATAATTTTACTTCAATATTAGTCACTGATAAGCCCATCATTATTAGAGAACCAGATATATTCAAGAGGCTTTATGTCAGCTTTCCGGGACTGAGATATGGGGTTTGTAACTGCATGCAAACTTGTGCTATGTTTAGATGGATGCTTCTTAAAGACTTTTTTAGGCGGGATGTTGATATGTGTTGTTGGAAGAGACGGAAACAATCAAATGTACCATATTGCTTAGGCAGTGGTGGAGGCTGAAAACAATGATTCTTGGGGTTGGTTCTTAGGTATTTTAAGTCGTGATTTGCCCGAATTTGGTAATAATAACTCTACAATATGTTCTGATAAACAAAAGGGGCTTTGTAATGCAGTTAGAGAGAACTTTCCGGAAGTAGAACATAGGAATTGTGCTAGGCATATATTTGCAAATTGGTTGAAGAAACATAAGGGGGAGCAATTGAGATGTTTGTACGGGAAAGCTGTTAGGGCATATGCTAAATCTGACTTTGATAGTGCTCTTGAGGAAATGAAAGGTGTTAGTGCCAAGGATGTTGAGGACTTCATTTCTCAGAATCCGACCACATTTTGTAGGTCCTACATGAAAACTTTGAGCAAGAGTGATGTGATTGTGAGCAACATGGCAGAACATTTAATGGATATATTATTGAAGCAAGATCCAAACCCCTTATACACATGCTTAAGGAAATAAGGTTGCAAGTTATGCAAAGGGTGCACGAGAATAGATCTATCATGCTCTCTAGACATGATGAGATGTGTCCTACAGTGAGGAAATGCCTAGAGACTAAAAAGGAACACACGAGGAAGTATATTTGTTTACCATCCAGTGAGCATGAGCTTAAGGTTATGCATCGTTTGGACATGTTCTGTGTGAATCTGAATGAGAAGACATGTACATGTAGGAAGTGGGATCTAATTGGCATTCCATGCCTTCATGTTATCTCTTGTTGTAATTGGTTACGAATCTCTCCCGAACACTTTGTCCTTAACTGGTTTGAGAAAGTAAAGTACCTCCAAAGCTATAGCATTTCAGTGAAACCAATTAACGGTGAAAGGCATTGGGAGAAAATAGAATATGTTTTAAATCCCCCACCAATAAAGATTAGTGCAGGCAGGCCAAAGAAAAACAGAAGAAAGCATGCACATGAAAGGTTTGCTAAAAAAGGAAAGTTAAGTAAGCATGGGGTACAAATGGCTTGTACTACATGTAAGGGGAATGATCATAACAAAAGGCGGTGCCCTCAAAAGAGAAATATATCACACTCCATTGGAAAAGTATCCAGTAAGTTGTGGTTGCACTGAGCTTGTAAGTAGTGTTGACAGTTTGTTGTTATTTTTATTACTAAGTACTAATTAATGTGTAGGCAAAACTAAGAGGAAGACCAAGAAAGGATGGTGGACCACCGAGAAAAGCTAGTGATCCTAACCTACCAAAAAGAGCTAGAGGAAGGCTACTAAAGACCGCAAATGCTACCCCATGTGTCCCTAATGGATGGGTGTTCTATGCCGAAGATGCTAGAGTGTACATAAATGTAAGTTATACTCATTTATGTCTTATTGACTAAATCTGGCAGATCATATTGACTAAATCTTATTTCACCTAATGCTTCTTATTTCAAGGTGCACTAAAATAACCTGGTATAACGTTGCAAAGATCAACCATGTGTGCGACATGTGTATCCAATACCGGGGTGGTGCGGGACTGATGTAGTAGTATATTTGCTCCCACAATTCATCAATATTGTCAAGAAGGCATATAGGATTATATAGCTCACGATGACGATCGAGTTCTTCCACTAACTCCCTTCGAACTCTAACCCATTCTTTTTCTCCCCATCCTAAAAGCTCTGCAAATGAGCGATATCCGCAATGTCCATCTCCAATAACGTCGACAACTTTACTAATATGCTTAAGCATGAATGTCTCAACATCATTACCGAAATTAAATTGCATTCGATTTTGACGTGTGTGAGATTTCCTTTTAATATCCTTGCCACATCCACGAGACCCATGATGTGATATTGTACCCTTGGATTTTTTGTATTTTTTCTCAGTGTACTCCCATGCACTTGGGTCTCGAGTGGTTGATTTTTTTTGGGCCTTCCCTTCGTTTCATGAATCGGTGGCTCTTTCATAGCATTAAGTTTTGGATTCCTCATCTCATTCCATTTTGCAACAAGTCTTTTTTTTCTTGTGCTGACATACGACCTGATTGAAACTCATCAACTATGGTTTTTAGGACCACATCATCAACACTTATATCATCGGCCTTGTCATTGTCTTGTTCCTTATTTACATGCCATTCAACTCTTCTCCAAAATTCATGTACCATTGATGGATGTAGTGGATGATTATCGTGAATACAAATTGCTAACTCGTGTGGACATGGTAAACCATAACATTCCCTCCACCAATAGTCATTGCATATTGGATCGTAATTTCCTGCTATGACCTCATCATGCATCCTTATTAACTTATTCATGCACTCATTTGACACCATGTGTTGAAGCTGGCTAAGTATTGGAATCTTATCCAATACCGTTGGAATGGTGCAACGTGACAATTCTAAAGATCGTCTCACTTTATCCAATTGATCATTCAGTAAGTTATTTATCTCAGCAAAAACATTGTCAAACCCCTTAATGGATGAGCCTAATTGTAGCTTTAGCGTTGCGTGTGCAGATTCCACCCTGCGGCACAAAGTTAATGAAATAAAAAAAAAATTGTTCATAATTTTTTATAAATATATTTATTTACCTGTTAGTAGTCCTTGTGCCAAAATGTGTGACATGGTCCGTCCACACTCTCACTAAACGATCTTTGTACGTGTCCAACCAATATTCAGTAAGATATCTCATAAGGCCCCAATTGTTCTTCCATTTCGATCTCATATATTTTAATTGCTCCTCATATTGATCGACAGTGGTT